ACACTTTTGGATAACTTTTTTATTATACAATTCAAGTCGTATTCAATGGCCCATAAAGGGTGACCCTTGCTTGCTCCAATCCAAAACATTTTTTCTTTCTCTAACTTGGCTATACTATGTAGTCTGTGCCACACTTATTTACAATGTTCCTGCAATGTATATCAGGTTTTAATACCTATTATCAGTTGATTCTGTCTTCAGTGAAAACTTAATTCCTCTTTTTTTTTCCCAAGGGAAGTCCATTTCTTCTTATACTGAAATTTGTGAAAATAATAAAAAGGCACACAATCCATGTAATCATACACTAGAAACTTGTGGTAACTTATCCTGTTTTTTTTTTTTTTTTTTTTTTTCTGTAACCTAACTGCAAAACCATGAAGTATTTACTGGTGATTTTTTTCATTTCAGAATCTTTTTACTATATTCTTCAAAAACAAGCCTATCCCCACCTTAAATTATCCTCTCTCCTGTTCTCTATTTCTTTGAGACAGCTTCATCCTCTCCTTTCCCAGTGCTTAAATGAGCCATGGAGTATTGATGTGCTGGGTACAGATACAAAACCCTTCTCAGTTGAGAATGGGTAAACTGGGGGGGGGGTGTGTTATAATATCATCACTTCTTTCATTAATATTTGTACTTATTAAAACTCATGATTCTTATTTCCAAAAATGTCCTGTTTCACATTTTTATACTGGTAATGATGTTTCACCTGTTTTATTTGCCAATCCCCCCACCAATATTATGAAATGCATTTTTAAATTCTCCTTAGGAATATTCTGTGGCCACTGTCCAAGTCAATTTAACATTTTAGGAAATTAAAATCCCAAATGAGAATATTCTTCCTCTCCTTGTATACTATGGCGTGCCTCCTCTGCAAGCTGTCATAAAACAACACTATTCAGTTTTATTACTGTGATTCTGCTTGTGTAATAATAAAGTGATAGTGATCTGTTTTTATTGTTAAAGATACTAATTTTTTCCCATGTTTCTCCAAAAAATAATAAATTTGGATAAAAGACAATTGGAGAAAAAAATCCATGAATCTAAAATCAATAAATAACACACAGATATTTAATAACTCGGAGATTCCTTCAGATTATTCTGCTTTTGATTGAGTTCTCATCTTTATCAGTCTGTGAGAAAATGTTTGCCCTTGAATTCAAAAAGATTGTAAAGCCTCAAGGACAAAACTCATTTGCATATTTGTTTCCCAGTGCCTGAGACACAATGGGTTTAAAATGAACATTATAGAATATTCCAACAAATCTCATTATCTGGTATATTAGCACATGTGTCCCAAGGAACAGTACTTCAAAAAGATGATAGTAATCGTCAAACAATTTTGAGAATTGCTAGATTAAATACACATGAACAGGTTTTCTAAAGAAATTTGCAAAGTTCAGAATCTTTACATCTTTTTTTTTTCATGGTTGGTACTAGGGATTGAACCCAGATTACTTACCATTAAGCCAAATCTTCAATCTTTTTTATTTTATTTTGATACATGGTCTCACTAATTTGTTAAGACTGGACTCAAACTTATGATCTTCCTGCCTCGACCTCCTGAATTTCTAGGATTACAGACATGTACCACAGTGCCCTGCCCCTTAACATTTTTGGGACAGGGGGAGGGTGGGGTAGGTACTTGGGATTGAGCTCAGGTGCACTCAACCACTGAGCTCTATTTTGTATTTTATTTAGAGACAGGCTTTCCTTGAATTGCTTAGCGCCTTGCTTTTTCTGGGGATACTCTGAACTCGGGATCTTCCTGTCTTAGCCTCCTGAGCTGCTGAAGTTACAGGCATGCACCACTAGGTCCCCCTCCCTTACCTCTTAAATGAATTCAAAAAATACATTTGTCCAAAAATATAGATGCCATGAATGTTTATAAAATTAATAAAAGTTTGGAATTGGTATTTTAGACAAATATTTTGTATATAAAATTCAATCAGAATCACATTCAAACATTTGTAGAAAAAATTATATTAGTAATAAATTTGTTGAGGAAAAAATATAACAAGGGATATAAATAAAAGAAAGACCTTATTTTTATTTTTGTTTTGTTTTGTGGTGGAATGCTGTACTTTTACTGATCCAATTTTTTTTTTCATTCTTATAGTAATGCACATTCCTTCTGACCCACTAATACAACTTTTGGAAATTTTCCCATACACACACACACACACACACATACACACTCCACATATGTACTTGCCCATGTATAAAATGATATCTTAGTATTCATTGAAGTAGTTTTCCTTTGGAATACAATTAAAACCAACCTGAATATTCACCGATAAAAATCTTTAGCACATAATATTTCCAAATAATTTAATGCCCTTTAATTCAAACTGTTAGAATCAGTAAACAAATCCAACAGAGTTCCCATATAAAAGATCAAATACAAAATTCAATTGTGTTTCTATACCCTCTAATGAAGTATCTAATTTGTAAATGAAGAAATCAATTCAATTTGTTACTGTAACAAAGATTATGAAGTATCTAGTAATAAACATGAGATCATGCACTGAAAAAAGTGATAAAGAGTTTTATATGCTAAAAACTATAAAATATTGATGAAAGAAATTATACAAGGCACAGGGTAATAGAAAGATATCTATGTTCATGGATTAGAAGTGTTAATTTTGATAAAATACCCATAACATTCAAAGTAATGCATAGATTTAATGCAGTTCTTATCAAAATTGCTATATTTTTGCATAGATTTTTTTTAAAAAAATCTAAAGTTCACATGGAGCCAAATAAGAACACAAATAGCTAGGTCAAGAGCTGGAGGTGTCATAATTCCTACTGTATCAAAATAAAAGCTGGAGGTGTCATAATTCCTAATTTCAAGTATATTGCAAACTAAAGTAAACACCCAGGCAGAGGTACATGCCTATAATACCAGTGATTCAGGAAGCTGATCAGGAGGATTACAAATTTGAGACAAGCCTCAGCAATTATGGAGGCCTAAGAAACTTAATGAGACCCCACATCAAAATATTAAAAAGCAAGGGGGGGGCAGGCACGATGATGTACACCTGTAATCCCAGCAGCTAGGGAGGCTAAGAAAGGAGGATCTCCAGTTCAAAGCCAGCTCTAGCAATGGGAGGCATTAAGCAACTCAACTGAGACCCTGTCTCTAAATAAAATACAAAATAGGACTGGAGATGTGGCTCAGTGGTGGAGTACCCCTGAGTTCAATCTCTGGTACCAATGAATAAATAAATAAATAAAAGTAAGGAGGGTGGTGCTGGGATAAGACTCAGTGGTAAAGAGCTGTGGCATCCATCTCCATTATCAAAACAAACAAACAAGCAAACTGTTATCAAACAGTAAATACTTGCACAATGCTAAACATATGGACCAATGAAACATAAAGGACCAACAGTAAATGATACATATATAGTCGACTGATCTTTGACAAGAAAGCAAGTGTACACAATGGGAAGAATATCATCAATGAATGATTTTGGAAAATTGTATATTCACTTGGAAAAAAATGAATTGGACTCCAATATCAAACCCCAAGATCAAAGCAAAATGTATTAAAACTTAAATATAAGATACAGATGATAAAACTCCTTAAAGTTTTTATAAGGGAAAACTTTCTGGTCCTCTGCCACAGAAGCTGTTTTCTCCTGTGTGGAGTGGCCTGGCTGAGAAATACAGCAAAAAATCACACTACACAGAAAATAGTTTTAAAGAGTGGGGGCAAGGAGAGCTCTTTCACCTTTACGGGTAGAGATTCCACGCTTGAAAGAGAGCTTGAGAGCCCATGTTTGCTTATTTATCTGGGGGAACTTCAAAGGTTTTCTGCAGAATTGTCTTAGCCAGTATGGTAGGAAGTAGGCTATCCAGTTACCAGTAGGTTATGCCCATGCCAGAGCTAGTGGATCAGTCTTCCTAGCTGAGCAAAGACAAGAGATCACATGTATTATGCAATCCATTAAGTGGGAGGAGCCACAAAATAGCTTGCAATGCCAAACCAAAATCTCTTTGGCTCCAAGGCCCAGTGAAAACTCTCAAATAGCTCAGGGGTGGCCTCCCACAATTGGTCTTGGCAATGATTTCATGAATATTATGCCAAAAGCAAGGGAACCAAAAACAAAGATAAATATGTGGACTAGTCCAACTGAAAGGCTTGGCATAGCTGAGGGAACAATCAACACACTGAAAAGGCTACCTGCACACTGGGAGGAAATATCTGCAAACATGTATCCAAGAAGGGATTAATGTCCAAAGTGTACACAAACTCTTACAAATTAATTGCAAAAGTAAACCAGCAAATGAAAAAAAAAAAATGTTTGATTCATAAAATGAGGAAAGAGACTGAATAGACATATTTCCTAAGAAGACATAGAAATAGCCAAAACATCTATGAAAATATAATCTGTATCAATAATTATTAAGGAAATGCAAATCAAAACCACACTTGTCAGAATGACTGTTATTAAAAATGAAACAAAACAAAATGCAACTAGTGTTAATGAGGATGTGGAGATACTTGTATATTGAAACAGTTGCACACTGCTTGTGAGAAGCAAGATAGTTTGTTTACTATCAAAAACAGTATGATTTTTATTGTTTATATTCAAAATTTAAATATAAATTACCATATGATCTAAAAGTCCTGATTCTAGGTATTTATCCAAAAGAAATGAGATCTTGAAGAAAAGGATCTTGAAGAAATGGCACTCCTGTGTTCACTATAGTAGTATTCACAATAGTCAAGATGTGCAAAAAACTAAATGTCTATTGAAAGATGAATAAAGAAAATGTGATTTATACATACAATGTTATAATAGTCATCCTTTGAAAAGAAAGGAAGTCTGTACAAGAGTCCTGGAGCCCAAGGAGAACCAGCCTGTCCTGCTGAGGCTCCAAGAACCCTGCACACCTGGACAGATCCAGTAAGTCCCTCACTGCCCTGAGCACCACCCTGTCCGGCCTCACCTGTGCAGATTCAGAAACATTTTGCTCCTTTCTTGGGCCAGATGAGGAACCTGAGGAAGCTGCTTGTCTCCCAGGTCCGCATGCCTGCCCACACCTCCCCAGAGAAGCAGGAGTGGCTGCTCTCCCAGCTCACCTCGCAGTTCCTCAGGATGGACTGCCTGCGGAAGTTCTGTGTGGATGCTGTCCTCCTCCTTGGGGGCCACCTGGAACAGGTGCTGAGGAACCTGAAGACCCCCCTGGAGACCCTCTCTATAACCAACTGCCCGCTCACAGATTCTGACTGGAATTATCTCTCCCGATGCCCAAACACCAGCCAGCTAAGGCACCTGGATCTGAGATACATCAAATTGACCAATTTCAGTCCGAAGCCACTCAAAATTCTGCTGGAGACTGTTGCCCCCACCCTGAACAGGTTGGACTTGGACGCCTGTGAGATTGCGGACTCCCAGCTCCAAGCCATCCTGCCTGCCCTGAGCCATTGCTCTCAGCTCAGGACCTTGTGCTTTTTCCGGAATCGCATCTCCATGTCGGTCCTCAGGGACCTGCTCTGTCACACTGCCGGGCTGAGCCGGTTGAGCATAGAGATATACCCTGCCCCTCTGGAGAGCTACGATGCCCAGGGTGCCATCCACCGAGAGAGATGTTCCCAACTCTGTGCTGAGCTCACAGCACTATTGAAGGACCTTAGGCAGCCAAAGGTCCTTATTTTCGATACTGTGCCCTGTCCTCAATGTGGCCACATGTTCATCTACAACCAGGGCCTCATTCACTGTTTCTGTCCAACAGCTGCCTAGTTGGGTGTGTATAAAAATATGCCCTTTACGCAATTGGATGTATAACCAGGATGTAGAGGGATCATGAAGGAAACTCAGAGCCCATCATTTCAGATACTGTCTGAAGTGTGGATGGGGAAAGGAATCAGATGCTGGGGCTACATTGGAAGGAAGCCCCTGAAGATTGGACCTTCTGTTTAGAGCCATATGTGTCTGTATAGAGTCATAACAAGGGGCCTGGATTTTTAGAATGGGATTTAGGCTTCATGCACACATGAAGAAACTATTTTGTTTCATGGATATTCCATAAATAAATAGTATGAAATGAATGGAATCTCAAGATTAGTCCTCTGACATCTTCCATGATGGTTTTACCCAGTTTTCTGATTTTGACACTGGAATTCTCCAGGGGCTGATGAAGAAATACCACCAAGTACTTGGTGATCAATGAGGTTCATTCCCAGAAACTCAAAGCATCAAACTGAAATCAGGTCATTATCTGTGGCTACACTGTGGCATAATCCATGTAGGGGAACACAGGAGCCCTGGAGCATCCTAAGTGGACAGTAAAATTTCAAAAAGCCCTTCTTAGGTGACCTCAGTGCCACCCAGACACTCAAGGTACACCCATCCTTGTGGGTCTCCACATAGACCTAGAAACTTGGCATCTTGGTCTTTGGATGCAATGAGAATAAAATAGGGTCTCTGGGCCTCACAAAACCTTGCCTGTCATCCTGCTACCAAGTCTTTCCTGAAATAATGTAGTCATGGCCAATGAAACCATCCAAATTAGCTTTCATCAAAATAGTAGAATTATATAGGTAGATAACACTTCTGAATGTGTCTAAAATAACTGAATAAATTACCACCTTCTGGTGGGGGAGAAGGGTGCTCATAACTGACAGATCTTCCCCTAACACTTCCCAGCTCTCCCTACCCGGGGACACAAGGTTTTCATTCAGAAGATGATGAGAGGATGAGTAAGGATGAGGTGGCTGTGGGCAAATGGGTGGCCCTGCCTGTGCTGCCTGGTCCTTAGCCAAGATCCCCTAAATGACAACTCCTGCTGAGGACTAAGTTTGGTGGAATTATGCAGTGACCTTAGCCTTAGCTTCCCATCCAAGGTGGAGAAGGAGGTCCACCCAAACTTTTTTAAAGTTATCCTAAAGCTGCCTGTGTACGTGATCTAATTTGGGCTTGAAGGCTTCTCCATACACAGTGAACTAGAACCCAGTTCCATGTGTAAGCAGACTGCAGCTCACTCTTGGAACAGGTAGCCGAGTCCAGGTCCTACACAGCCAGCCCATCTGTCCGCCACACAGTGATCTGTGTGCCTCACACCTCTTTATGACACTTCCTCTCTTCTGGCTCTACACCTAACTTGCGTGTGTGGCAGGTGAAGTGGGGAGTTCTGAACAGCATTCATTCTGCTCTGCTGCTGGGTTCTGGGATCAAATAAAGGCAAGGAAGATCTGCAATATGAGATGTGTCATCACTGGTTGTTTTAAGGGTTTTCATGACCAAAAAGTTATTTTTGAAGTTATTCTGGTGTGTCCAGACTCCTTGAATTGTATAAGGACTGAGAGTTGCATGTGTCCCCACACAGCCCTAGGGATAAAGTACCCAGATTGCTCTTTGAATTACTCTTCTTTTGACTCTAGGTACATTTGTGCTGTGAGACAGCCCACAACTGTAGGATGTCATGACAAACAGGACTGTGTGTAAGGGTGGCCGGGTCAGAAGGGGACTGGGTTCCACTCTCTGGAGTGCTACTGAAAGGTGCACATTCCTTTGTGCATCTGCATCAAAAGAGTCTAGATCCCCTACTGGAACACTGGCCAATTTCACCTGTACAATCTAGGGACCCAGAACCCATGCTTTCCTACAGAAATGAGTGAACTTCATAAAAATTAACTGAGGTCCTTGGGACATAGCTCAATGGTAAAGCACTTGCCTAGCATGTGGAAGGGCCTGGGTTCCATCCCCAGAACCACAGATGTATGTGAACAAATAAATGAATAAGTAAATCCAATATTGATGTGACTCCAGGGGGAAGTTTTAATTTGAAGAAAATTATCTAACTGTGAGGAGAACCAGAGCCCATATGAACACAATGAAATGCATTCTTTAATTTGAATGGTGGTGAGCCTTTCTCAGAAACACCCTTGGTCAGGAAAGTGAAATGTTTTCCTTAAAATGGCAGCTGTCATTTAAGATGGCCATCCAGGTGCTAACCAAGAACCTTATAAGTACTAAAAAGAAAAGAGACAGATGGAAGTTAATTGTTAGAGACACAGCAGAGACTCCTAAAACCTACCAGTGAGAACAGGGAGTGAGAAGCACTCTTTGGTTCCCCTACAAGATAAAGGGTGTTTGGGAGGGGGATTGGCTCAGCAAGGAGGCTTGAGAAGAATTAGCATGCAGAGGGAATGTCTGTCATTAGCCTGTCATGATTAAGTGCGTTTGCAATGCTTAAAATTAATCTAGAATTCTTTGCTGTGAATTGATTATGTCTATTGCAGTGCCTAGCATTAAGGACTGCCATTTTCTTGCTTAAGAACATATAGAGGGCTGGGATTGTGGCTCAGCGGTATAGTGCTCACCCAGCATGGGTTAGATCCTCAGCACCACATAAAAATAAAGGCATGGTGTTTTGTCCATCTACACCTAAAAAATAAATGTTAAATAAAAGAACCTAAAGTGTGAAACTGTATTGAGTAATTTGAGTGAATAAAGCACCTAAAGGGGAAAAAAAAAAAAAAAAAAAAAAAAAAAAAAAAAAAAAAGAAAGGAAGGTTGTAATATATGACAACATGGATGGACACTGAAGATAGCATGCTAAGTGAAATGGGCCAGTCACAGAAAGACAAATATTATATGATTCCACTTAGATGAAGTATCTAAAGTAATCAAATTCATAATGGCTAGTAGTGGATTAAATATTGCCAGGGATTTCTGGGAGGGGCAAATGAAAAACTACTCTATCTGTGGTCATAAATTTTTAATTGAGCAACATCAGTTCTAGAAATCTGCTTTAAAACATTGTACACAGAGTCAACAGTAATGTATCATACACTTAAATTTTTTGTTAAAAAGGGCAAATTTCATGATAAATGATTTTACTGCAAAAAATAAAAATTAAATAAAAATTTAAAAATTATCAAGTATCTAAATAGCCATTTCTCAAAGGAAGATCAATAACTAGTCAATAAATACATAAAAATTATGTTTAACATCATTCTTCAACAGGCATACAAAAATCAAAGCCATGAGGAAATACTCCATACCCACTAAGATGGTTATAATAAAAATCGTATAGATATTTTGGAAAATAATTGTGTAATTCCTCAAAAAGTTACACATAAAGTTACCACATGATTCACTGATTCCATTCTGAGGTTCATAAATGAGTAACAAGGACATATGTTCACACCAGAACTAGATGAATGTCTATAGAAACATTATATAAAATAGTACAAAGGTTGAAATAACCCAAATAGCTATCAACTGATTAATGGATAAAGTATAGTATATTCATACAATGGAATATTATTCAGTAATAACAGAAAAATAAAATACTATTAGATGCTACAATATGATGAACCTGATAAACACTGTATAACAAGTACAAATGAGTCCTTTTGTGACACAAGTCTCTAAATTAAATGTCCAGAATTGACAGCTTTCTAACAGCAGATCAATAGACTAGCAATTGCCTGGAGCAGATGAATGTGAGGAGTCAAGAGTGTGGTTGGACGATGTTGGTAAGGAACGCAGGATTTCTTTGGGGCAATGACAGCTCAGTTGTTGAGATAAAAGTACAACTGTGAAACTTTTAAAAAGCGTGAATGTATGTGTTTTAATGGGTAAACTTCAAAATATACAAATTATAATTTTTTGATTCTGCTTTAAAAAGAGATTATTATTACCAGTATTAAGTATACATTCATCAGAGTATATATCATTCTTTTTTCTTTAGAGAGAGAGAGAGAATTTTTTTAATATTTATTTTTTAGTTTTCGGTGGACACACATGTTTATTTTATTTTTTATGTGGTGCTGAGGATCGAATCCAGCACCCTACGCATGCCAAGAAAGTGCACTACCACTTGAGCCACATCCCCAGCCCATGTATATCATTCTTAAAAGCTGGTCTTTCCCACTATTTTTAGGAAAATAGCTTGTTAGTATAGATGGTAACTGTATACACTATTAACACTTTTCCTTGTTACTGGTATAACGGATTCATTTCATTCAAGATTTTTATCAAATGATTAATGTCACCCTAGCTGTGAAGTCTTCTAATCATTCGATGGCACATAAAACCTCAGAGTCTCCATTAATTTATCCTACTTTAATTCACTTCACAATATGTATTCGTACAATATATACAGAAATTTATTAACTAAATTCATTAAATTGTAATTTTATGCTTACTTCTGTCAATTATCTACAATTTTCCCTTTAACATGATAAATATTAAAGATATATATTTGTTGAATGAATAAATTAAAAACAGCTGGTAAATTAGACATAAATCTGGCTCACCTCAGATAATATATATTATCCCACACTACAAATTCTTACATGATTCATTTATCTATGTAATTTTCTTTGTCTTGAATGTATTCCTGTTGAAAATTTTGCCATTCTGAATTTAGCAGTTTGGAGATTCATATCCAAACTTTCAGGTTACAAATTCATATTACCTCTTTTTTTCTATTAACACTCAAAATGCAGTTCTATAAATGCATTTGTGCTAAAGTATGTATATTCAGGCTTATACTTCAACTCCTTCACCCGCCTTTGGCTTCAAGGACACTGAAATTCCAGACACCTTGCAGGCAAACATTGTGGTTTATGCTCCTGAAAATTGCTGTAGTGTTTGTCACAGGAATATGACCATAGCTTTTGCATTGAATGGGATTAATCATTTCACAAAATACAACTTCTTTTCTCATATTTCCTATTAAAAACAGTGACTCCTAATCCACTGAAACAGGTACCTCATAAAGATAGAGA